GGAAAGCCGAGAGCTCCAGGCGCGCTGGGACAGACTGGCAACAACCCTGCTTTTGGGATCCGACGCATTTGGAAGGGAAGTTACTCTATAGCAGGAAGTTGAGCTGTCACTTTGCCTTTCTGTGCCTCAGGTTCTTGGCTGTAAGTGAGAGCCTTTGTTTTCCGTGGTCTGCGTGGTTTAGAAAGTTTGTGCTCCTCAGCCTCCCTGCCAGAATCCTGCGCCACTTCAGAGGAAAGACTGAGGAACAGGTCTTGTGTCATTTGTCACCGAGACTGCAGCCCTCTCTTACAACAAACAAAACAAAATAAAACTCTAGCCAAGGGACTAGAGGTCAAAAAGAGGCTCTTTGAATGTTGTGGTGACCTGGACAGAGCAGGAAGGAGGCTCACGGTGCTGGAAGTCACCCCCAACCCTTGATTTAAGAAGGGGTCACAGGTGTACATAGGCAAGTTTATGGGCTTCTGCCCTTGAGATTTGTGAACTTGACTTATGCAAGTTTTACCTCAGTAAAAAAGAAAATACAAATTGAATGCTAAAATCCACTCACTGTGGTAGCGAGCAGATTGCTGCCTTTTCCAGCTAATGTATTTTAGAGATATATTTAAAAGCCACAGAAACCAAAGGAGGAATAAAAGGAGAGGCCAGGGGAGCAAACCCAAGTTCAGAAATATCGGGAAATAGCACATCCACTTTACACAGTGCCTGTTCGTACGTTACCGTGTATAATTCACAACTATTTTTTTAAGTGAAGTGTTATTATCGTGCCTTTTCTATAGATGAGAAGATAAAATGTGACAGAGATTAGATGACTTGTTCAGGAATTCTGAGAATAAAAACCGAGGAAGAGAGACTTAAATTTTAGACATGTGCCATAAGCAGGCAATTTGGGGACATCCGAACAGTGCAGAACATTAGGGTGACAGACTTGTAGGCTGGCTTGCAAAGGCAGTAGGGCTGCTGGGTCCCTCTTTCTTGTTCCTTTCAGGAGTCTGTTTCCATGTGAGTGTGACATTGTGTTACACTAAGTTCGCCAGCAGCAGAAGGGGTGGAGGAAGTGTGTCTAAGAACATACAGTTTTAGGAACAGGAGAGCGCCAGCTGGTCCGCCTGGCAATGCTCTTAGTTAGGAGATGTATTGTTCAGAAACCATATAGTACAAGTTGTGATTTTTTGCAGTCACTCCAACACACAAAGAATCAATAATAGAACCCAGAAAAGCTCTGGGAAACAAAAATGGGAGAGAACAATTGCAGAGAACATAAGGAGGAACAGTCAGTTTTTCTTGTATTCTAGAATTTATAAATATAATGTTTATTAATGCTAAAGCTAAAAAGCCCTACAAAAGCAACCAGGCAGAAGGCAGAAAATTTGTTTTCTAGCAAAGATATATATTATATATGTACCAATGAAGCCTCAGGGTACACATACAGTAAGATTATGTCTACCGAGAAATTTGTCCAAGTATGTATTATAGTGATTTTATACATCTGCCTAAAACTTAGAACTTAGACAAGTAGAAACATTCTTGTTTTATCAAGCAGAGTTGAGTACTTGTCTAATTTTTGGAGTTAGGAAGACTCACACAGATGTTGGGCTAAGTGGGGGCAAGAATGAGGGCATCTCTGGGTAAGCTCCTCAACCAAGGGCCATCAGGGGTGATGATGCATCACCAGATTATCTTTACGCAAGTTTTACCTTGTCACAGTAGTGTTCCAGCCATCTGGCTGCTGGAATATTTAGAAAGGAATTGTAATATTTGACTGGCTTTGCAGATAGCATGACAAAACAAGCTTTAAGAGGGAGCTGTCAAATGAGAGTGGTACTTGGTGAGAAAAATGATTCTTTCTTCCATTGCTACTGCACAGGATCCATGAGACACGTGCTTCCCAGCCAGTGCAGAGCAGATGCAGCGCATGAGGAAGCATGCAGCGAACGTCAGAGTTCATGTGCTAAGGAGACAAAGTAAAACAAAGCAAATGGAGGGCAGGGGGGCGGGTAAAAAGCTGGGCAGGCATTATGTGAGCCAGGCACTGTGGAGGAAGACGTTTAACTGCATCTTGAAGGAATACTCATCCGGTGTGGGCGCTGGAAGCCAGGGAGACAGTGAATTTGCAATGGTGGTGTCCAGAAGAGAGGCCTGCCTAGGGACTGTGAGTTGGAGTCAGACCAGGCTGAGGAGTCAGCAGCCAGCCTCAGAACTTGGAGTTTCTGGAGGCAGGTGTGCAAAAACATGCGTGCATCTGAGCGAGGGGCCATGTTGCCCCCTCACTGTTCCTTGGGAGCTGGGAACAACTCAGGAGGGGCCGAGGCTGAGGGTTTGTCTCCACAAA